TCCTTCACTAGAAGTGTTCTCTCACAGATGTAATAACAGTTAACTATTCATACTCCATGCTGTCACTTCACATGACTCATCCTGTGTTTTTTCCAACTTGACTCATGTATGACTTCTTTAAATGGAAAGACATTATTTCATAGGCTTCCTAGAGTTTATTTAAATTAGTTACTTTTCAAAAGTCATTTGTCCTTTAATACGTATAGTACACAACTCGGCCTAAATTCTTTGTTTATGGTGTTTAATAAAAAAAAATAAATTCACCTTTATAGAATTAAATGTAAACAAATTACAACACAAACAATGCAAATAACACCACTTATTTCATATGAGAGATGATCACATTTGTGGAAACAAAATAGCTGTTCATACTATGAACCATGACAGTGTGTATCTCTGGTGTTGTTTCTTTTGTCAGATCAGTGATCCCCCTGTGGAGAACAGTGACTCAATTCTCCCACTGATTCTCATGTTTCTGCACTGCACCACCCTGAAGCTTCCTTTTGTCCAGTGTGCTATGACATCATTTGGACCATCAATCAAATCAGCATTTACATATTAACTCTGTCTCTCTTTTAACATACTGTTCGTCTCCCCCATCTTCAGTTTTGCTTCCTGAGGCTTTAGCTACCTGCTGTCAACCACAGTATTAAAAACCACACAATTTGTCTTAACTGTTTTAAGAGAATGACCATATTCACATGAATCTATTATAAGTACATTGCTATAATTACTATTTTATTATTAGTTATTAATCTCTTACTGTGCCTAATTTATTAAGTAAACTTCATCAAAGGTTTGTATGTCTAGGCAAAAATACAATAGATAGGGTTTGGGACAATTGTTCGTTTTAAGCATCCTTTGGGTATTTTGGAATCTATCTCATGAAGATAAGGGGAGAACTACTGTATTAAGATGTGAAACACACTTACATATTACATCTTAGCAAACCTCTAACAGCTGAAGGTCATTAAAATAGTAGTCACTAGTGCCAACATGAGTGCAAACGCCACTGTAAACTTTGAACTTAAATCTCCCAGTAGGATTTGGTTATGGGGTAGTCAAAAGTTAGTTTGCAATAATTTAATAGTAGAGTTTTTAGCCTGCTACCTAAATAAATTAAAGCTTTCTCACATTAAAACCTGTAGTTTTCTGAAAAATTCATAAGACTTAGAAAATAAAACTGTGGGTCCTGATCTGAGAAGCATTGCAATATTACTTAATTAATCTTTTCAATAAAATCATTATCACTACTTTACAATGAGAAACTGAGGCTAGAGAGGTTAGTAACTTGGCCAAGTTCTCATAGCTGATCAATGTCAGGCTTGAGGTGCACAGAGACAGCCATGTCTGCCTCTCTCAGCCTCTTTTCGTGACTGTGACTCAGTCAAGCTATGCATTCTCCAGGAAAGCACATGTCTTGATCTTCTCTTTTCAAAGAGGGGTGAGGCCACTGGAAACTTCAAAACTGCCCAGTATTTCCCTTTACTCTTTATCTAAGTCCTTTATGTTCCCATAGATTAAAAATGAACAGTTTCTTTTGTGCCCTGAAGTAAGAAAGAATAGAGGAACATAGAAGTGTATTCCTCTTGTTACTCTGACCTCCTTTAAATGTCCTTGTCACTGCATTGAAATGTATTTTTTCCTGAGGTGATCAGTGAGCATGTTCACATCACCTCCTCTGAGAAGCTTCTCTGTCTTCCCAGACACAATTAATCACTCTTTTCATCATACAGCATTTTGCTCACAGGCCGTATATTCAGTTAATACATATATCATGCCTGCCTTTCCTCCCTTAAACTGTGAGCCTTTGGGACAAGGATCTTGTATTCCTCATCTTGGTAGCATTGGTGGAACATCAATTCAGTTCAATATGCATTTGCTGAGTTGGATTATGTCATGATCTCATATGTCAACTCATCCTATGTTAAAATAAAACTGACCTCTCGATTTTTCTCCATGAACATTTTGCTCCCTTCTTGTTCTCTCACAGGAAAGGTTATTACATATGCTACCCCATTGCTTCCTTGGACAGCAGCAATTGTCTTCAAGTGTTCTAACCATATCCACTCCGATCCATGAACTCTAGCTACCATATTTTCCTGTCTTTCGTTTCCTTCTCTATGTGTATCTGCTTCATTCTCTTCTGGCTTTAGGCTGGTTTTCCCGTCTCTTTCTTCTTAGACCACGTATTATTTCTCTGTTGCTGTGTTACAAATCGTCCTAAAACGTAGTGGTTCAAGCCAGCATTTAGTACACATCACAGTTTCTGTCAGTTGAGCACTTAGATGCGGCTTGGTGGGTCTTCTGCTCCTCCCAATCTGCAACCAAAGGTAATAAGCAGGGTGCAGTGATCCCAAAGGTCAACTGGAGAAGTATCTGTTCCTAAGCCACCACAGGGCGTTGGCAGGATTCAGTGTCTGAGTTGTTAGACCAAGAGCCCTAGTCCTTGATAGCTGTTGGCATGAAGTCACCCTAGTTTCTGGCTTTGTGGGCCTCATATACAATATGGCAGTTTGCTTCAGCATAGTGAGGAAGGGGAAGAGCCAGAGAGAGAGGGAGCAAGTCAGAAATCACAGCCTTTTTACTTCCCAACCTCACTTTTTCCATATTCTATTTGTAAGAGCAAGTCACTAGGTCTAACCTACACTCAGCAGAGGGAGTTATACCAGGAGGTGTGGAGCCTGGGAGCCTTTTAGGAGCAGCTGACCACAGGATTAGGTTACAGGGTAGAAAACATAGCTGCCCCCAGCTCTCAAACTTACATGTGTACATGCAAGTCTATCCTATGGTTCCAATTCTAGATTCTCAGGCATAGGTCTCTGATTGGTTGGCTTAAGTCCTGTGCTAACTCTTGCTCTAGTCAACTTGGCCAAGGTAACTAAATTGAGCAAGATGGTGACTGGGAGTTCACTCCTGTCCCATGAACTGGACTAGGGAGAAAGGGGAGTGTGGGATTTGCCAGAAGAGTACAAACCCAGCAGTTAGGTGTCCTGGCCCCTGGGGTCTACACTCTTTTTGCTTTTTCCAAACAGCTCAAACAGCTCCTAAACAGGAAGAGTTATTGACTAACATTGGATTCCCTAACATGCAGGAGATCATTTGGAAGATTTCCAGAAGAGAAATGGAGACCACTGCTTTTATTTTTAAATTAATTTTTTTTATTGTTGTGCTGAGTGGGGGTACATTGTAGCATTTACAAAGGTTCTTACAGTGAATCAATATATCATACTTGAATTTACCACTCCATTGCTCTCCTTCATCCTCCCTTCCCTGATTCTGGAACAGTTTTAACAGGTATCATTTTTGCAACATACAGTGTATACATTATTTGTACCATTTTCATCCTCCTCCCCTCCCCTCCAGGACAGAACCTGTTCTGCTCTCCTGCTCTCCAATTTTGTAGAAGAAAAAACCAAAAAGATAAAAAGAAGAAACATGGTGTTTTGCTAGTCTGAGATAAAGACAGCTACACAAGGAGTTTCCTTGTGTTGTTTCCATGCACATATGTATTACGACCCCAATTGGTTCACTCTACCAGTCCTCTTCACTCCTCCCCAGTGCCTTTCCCATGGTGGCCCGGCCAGTTTAAGAAGTCTAGATTCATTCCTATACCATGAGCACATCAACCACATTCAAGTTTTTGGTTTCCTTCCCTTGCCCTATCCTCCGTGTGTAGCCTTCCCTAACTGTGACCTGTGTCCCATAATATTCCTGCATCTTTTAAGTCTGTAATCTGCATATGTGGCTTTGGCCTTCTGAGCCTGGCTAACTACTTCACTTAAGATGCTGTTCTCCAGTTCTATCCTTGCCTGTGAGTGACAAAATTTCATTCTTCTTTGTGGCTGAGTAAAACTCCATTGTATAAAATACCACCTTTTCTTTCTTTCGTTTTTTATGTTTGAATGTATTTTAAAAATTTCTGTTAATTCACACAGAAAAATGCCCTGAAAAAAAAAATTGGATTCACACGAACTGAAAGTCACAAGTTCTGTTCTAGTCTTTCCAGAACACTGACCTAAGTGGGTCCCCTGTCCCGCTTTTCTCAAGTCCTCTGTCACTGGGTCTCAGGCCTTTGCAGGAGCCATCCAGATGGCTCTGCTACTTCATACCCTGTCCTGCTCTTGTTTGTTTCCTCATAGGCCTCCTCTTACCTGTGATGGATTTCTTGTCACCACTTCCCTCTGTAAACTTGAGTGTTCTTTAGGGTCTTGACAGCCACTCTGCATAAAACCAGGGACATACAGGAATGTGGACAGAGAGGGCATAATTTGCCTGAGGAGGGGTGAGGGTAGAGGGAGAGTCTACCACTTTGGGCTGCACTGGCTCTCCATTTGATGTGAATAACTCACTCATGGTGGGTGGCCCATTAGTTCACTGTCTCTAGTGAAAGGAGGACGGTGCACCTGTTTGCCTAGGCCAGGGAGGGATCCTGTTGAATACCAAGCCGGCTCAACCAAGTCAAGCTCATGCTCACTCATCGTGGGTCTACTCATGGGTTGGCACAGCATGGCATGGTGATACAGCCTGACTGTACTACCTGCATCTACCCCCAGTGAGAATTCACAGGGCTTGACTCTTAAGGACTACTGCACCAGATCTTCCAGGGGTATTATGTTTTGGTTGTTTTTTAAAAAAATTTTTTGAGACAGAGTCTTGCTATGTAGCCAGGCTGAACTCACAATCCTTCTGTCTCAGTTTCCAGAATGCTGGGATTAAGGCACACACCATTCATGCCCAGATTCAGAGGGGATTATGTTAACCCCTACATCCACACCAGGCTGAACGTTCCACAATCACTATGTCCCTCCACTGAAGGAGACTCTATGGGCTTTGTCCTTCAGGCTTGACCAAACAATGGGTCCATTCTGACCAGTCAGAGGCAGGTAGGTGATACAGAGGATTTATTTGGGGACCTCCAGTCCAGGCTCCAAGGGTCCGTCTATGTAAACTCCCACAACACTCACAGGTTCATGTCCACATTCTGATGACCAGCAGGTTCACTCAGCACTCAGGAAGACCCTCTTGCGTGCAGTGTTGGTATATGGGTGCCAACGCCATTCCACATCTGCTGTGGCCTCTTGTTCCAGTGTGCCCAGGCAATCATGAACAGCTTCAGTTCAAAGCGAGGCCCGACCTCGGTCAGCTCCACATTTCGGTGGTCTGTTTTTTTGTAGACATGGTGCAGGAATGAGATGTAGTCATCCTGGTTTGCAAATGTGATGACTCGGTGACTATCATCTTTGGGCACAGGGAACAGGTATCGGAGGATATCAGAGACCTGCTTGCACAGCTGGGGAAGCCATGTTGATGAGGTGAGGTTTAGCCTCTGACTTGGTGCCCAGGTTGGGATGTCGTGCTGTATGACCACATTGCAGAGTGTGAAGTAAGCAGTAGGGCCAAAGGCAGGTGGCTGACAATAAGCCCACAGGTGTGCCTCGATGCTCATAGACAACCAAGGGGTCCATGCCCTATTGGCTTTGCAAGCTTGCACCAGCACCCCCACCTTCTGGGGGCCTCGGTTCATGTGCTGGGTTCCTGGGAACACCAGCTTCAGATCCTGTGAAACATCTTCA